GTTTCCTGTGAAAGCCAGGGAGTCTTTGGTTGCTGGGTCCGCTAGATGGGATATAGTATCTTGGGATATCAATAACCAGTTTGAATGGCGGTCCATTAATAGGATAGGTGTTTAGTCATCTCGTTCTATTTACGTCGGTTGTGGCATTTTATACTTTTTATTCAGCTATGAGTGAGCTTGTTTCGAATCACAACTTTTCTGTCACTTGGCTTAATAAAGGGTCTGCATGTATCACTCTGATGCAGAGGTCAAGGGTAATCCTCCTTTTTCTAAAAAAAATATTTCATGCCTCAGGCCCTTTCACACATTGCACAAAAGCATGACGCAGTAATAGAGGTAATCATATGAACCATTACGAAACACGTCTAGATTTTTCTTAATTACTTGAATAGTTGAGGCACCTCTGTAAGACTTTTAAAACATCATAATGCCTCTAAATATTTGAACCGTGCGGTATAGACACTTTTTTGCATCTAACACGCTTTATCAAACGTATGTGCATCAGTTCGGGTGTTTGAAATTCCACAAACCAGAAGCAAAATGCTAGGAGGTTTGCGGGCGTCCGGACAGCCGCCAGGTAGGTACAGAACTGAGTTTTCCCACCCAAAAAAAACCCGCCACGTGTTGCCACCCAAAAACTGTCGCTGCCCATTCTGCCCAGAGCCTGGCCATGCATTCAGTATTGTTCAGAGCAGGCACGACTGAGGGACCACCTACCTGCATTCATGTTGGAGCCGCCTCAATGCGAACATGGCGATCAAGAAGCCTACTCCGGCCGCTGTGCCTGCATTGAAGTGACGACGGTCCGCCTGCCCAGCCCCATCTCCTACACACATATCCTCGCATAGCCTCTCGTCTCCTCTCCTCTCTACCGCACAACGTCACGATGGCTATGTCCGCGCCATGCTTCCGCCTCTACCTACCAGGGGTCGTGAACTATGACGGGCCTATCGGGAGCAGTGCAATGGAGTGCGCTGAGCGGCGTTGGCTATGACCAACTTGGCGTCAGAATGGGTGTGGGCGGACTCGGACCTCACATTGGTATGAGGCGACGGTCGGTTTTCATGTCCTCAGTGCAGGGAGACCCGTCAACACCGAATCAACAACCAAGTCTATAAAATATGGTTGGCCGAGTAAGAGCACTGATGGGGATACCCATAATAGGTAGGCCCATGAAGGGTCAAAGTATCATGAATTATAGGGTAGAGACGACAGATGGGCCCAGATCAATCTCAACCACCCAAAAAGTTACTCGAAAGACATTTGGGTGGTTACTACTCGAACGGATACTCAACCAAGTTTACTCGGCTGCACGAAGCATACCAAGCGTGGAAGGCATCTGAGGCAGTGTACTTATCCTTAATGCATCTGTTACTTGCATTATTTAAACTCCCTCTTTACTTTATAGTGGATGATAATGGTGATTTCGTAGTGGGCTGAATAAATATCTGCACTTGTCATATAGGAGGTAACGGGATGACACACTGTTTATAAGCCATCTGCACCATAATTTGACCAAAAAGGGTTTTCCCCTGCTTTATATATAAAGCAATCAGCACTTAGACGGGCTCTCATTTGCTCCCATTGCTCTCTCTCTCTCATACATACACTTATTATAATTCTCATATTAATATACAAACACCAAAGAAAGCCTATTTGCAGCATAGGACGTAGAGTCGTTACCTTCACCATGAGGGATCCGACCATGTAAAAAAAAAACTATGTTCCACCCCGGTAGCATCTTGATAGATCAAACTCCTTTCACCTATCCCTCTTCGGCTGTCAGAATCATCGACACGACAAAGCACCACCTTACCCCTTGCCGGCAAGAGCAACGGCACGAATGGGCGGCTCTGGGCAGCATCCCCAGTTGACCGTCGCCGCTAGCAGGACATGACTGTTCATTTGCGCCGCGAATGAGCAACGTCGGCCAATTAGGGTTGTCGCGACCCTTGGGAGGCCTTCCGCCGTTCGAAGGACTACAAAGACGACAACGAAGAGGTGCCAACAACCTTGGAGGCCATGCCTATTTAGTTAAACTTTTTGTTATAAATATGTTCAGTTTAATAAATATGGTCGGGTTTACATGATTTTCGTTCATCTTTTTGAATTGTCTGTTTGAACTAGCGTGGATCTTTGTGCATCAGGTTGTATGGCTGTCCCCTATCTGTTGTGTGCGGACACGTGTCCAATCTAATGCACGACTTTGGAGATGCCATGAGTCCTGTAAAGAAACACCTCCAGCTAAGCACTCTCTTCCCCACCGTTCGACTCGCCGCCTCCGTGCTCCTCTGGCAACATGCCGACAAGGCGACAACCCACCTAAGCTCAACACCCACGCGGCGCGAACGTTGACCTCGCTCATCACGGCCTCGTCCATACGGCTCTGCTTCTCAATTCGATGGGATAGCCCCCGCGCGACCGCCTTCCACCTCCGTTGTGTCGACGCCCGCGGCCGACCTCGGGTACCCCCGTCCGGCGACGGTGCGTTATTTTGTCTCTTCCTTCCCGATGGAACCCTGGTGGTTGCCTTTTCATCCCCGTTCTCGGAATCGACTGCTACACCTGCTTTTCTTCTGCGCAAAGTGATTTTCTTCTCACGCACTTGTCCTGTTTGTTGAAATGCATTCTACATGGCGACACTCCTTATGGAGTGGAATGGTGGTTCTGCGGAAAGCCTGAAACAACGTCTAATGGATAATTGAACTAAACAATTCCAGAATTAGTATGACCATGTTTGGATGACAGTTATCGAGCTTACTCGGTGATTCCATCAACTCCTCTAGCTAATTCATGTGCGGCATGCTTTCATCAGTTTCAGTTATATGAAGATGGCGGATCCAATGAGGTCTCGTTGAAAAACAAGAGGCATGCATTTCAGTGTTGCCTATACTGTTCTGTGATATTTTTTTGTCATTTCTTTTTTGCGAATTACATTGGAATGACATTGGAATCAAATTGTCATTCCAATGTAATATGTACCATGCCGTGCCACACATAGGTCCAGCATACATTCCTCAATGTTTTGTTCATTCAGTTTCAGGCTGGTGGCACTCTTGAAGCGTTCCAGTATCTTGTTGCGAGTTAGAAGACCAATCTACTCTGGGGCTTAATTTCCTCAAATAATTTTTTTTTTGCGTAGCATTAGAGTGATTTATTTGACAAAACTCAAAAGTTACAATTTTTTTTTGCTTAGCAATAGATTGATTTATTATAGAATGAGAATAACATGTTAAAATCTCTACTTTACTGTCTTGTGTTTCTCAGTTGTTCGACAAAGTGAAAACATAAAAATCAAAAATCATTGAAAAACACTTTTGTCATTATTCTTTGTTTTTTTATTGTTGTCTGTTTTTGAAGTGTGAGTCTGGAAATCCGGATATATACTACTCCCTCCGTCCCATAATGTAAGACGTTTTTTTACTGTAGTATAGTGTCAAAAAATGTCTTATATTATAGGACGGAGGGAGTCCTACTGTATATTTAAGGTAAAACTTAGAATTGCATAGCTGGTCCCAAGTCTGGAAAAAAGAATAGGTCCAACCATGGGTTCTAGAGCATAATATGTGTGTGTTAAGTTGACTCTTGACCAGTTTACAACAGCGATTAGGGAACATGTAGGATTCATTTAGATAAAACCAAAGAAGAATTTCACTTATCCACTAGAAATGGAGTGAGTGCGGTCGTTAACTCACTTAATTAGTAGTCCCTCCATTCAAAATTACTCGTCGGGTTTTAGTTGAATACTCGTCGGAGTAGATGTTTTTGTTCAATCTCTGTTACGCATATGGCAGCTCTTCATGTCTTGCTGTCAACAAATTTTACTTGATTTTGCGTCAGTTTTCTCATGTGGCGCACGCATTTAAGCCAGCGGCCTTCCTTTAATTTGTCTACAGTACACCGTACTGCTCCTGCTGCGTAGGTAGTGATCATGCATGGGCCACCACTTATGGCTCGATAGTACTGATGATCATGCACACCAATGTGAACGGCAGAGACTCGTTCACTCCTCATAGTCCTTTCCTGACATCTAGCCTATCTATCTAGCTTGTATTTTCTCACTTGGTAGGTTTGATTGAATATCATTCTAAATGATCTCCATGACTCCATCTGCGTCTAAATGTAGCGTTCTGCTCAGTTCTCTGATGCAAATCAAGTTTGCCATGCAATTATTTGTCCAAAGACATTGCGCATCTTGCTAAATTTCTTTTGGCTGTATAATAATCATCTGTCCTGTATGGAACATAGATGGAGAGAAAGTGTAGTTAAGTTGATGGAACTGAACATATATAGATGCACAGTGTGTAACTGTATTCATATAATGTATCAGGCAAGGCAGACCACTGACTCACAGATTGCACAGTGTGTTACTGTGGACTGAAGACACGTAGGACCCATCCAATCCATAGATGCAGCAGGTTTGATAAATGTTGGATGAGGGTGGGTGGATCATTTAATTTCCTGCAGCTCTTTACTCCTCACCAACTGCTCCTCACACGGTCTTGACTCACCGTGGACTTGAGTAGCTGCATTTTCCTTGCGCCTTCCTACAGAAGCCTCCCCTGCATTCTTCTTCTTCTTTTTGTTGTTGCATCGCATGCTAGCTTAGATTGCTCCACTCGAATTTGCTAGTTCATCTGAATCGTCCTTGGTGGAACTCACATCCAAGTGGTAATTTCTTTCCTTTTCTTATCCATCTCCCTCTCCAGTTGCCTGGCTACTTCTCTTTCACTAACCCTCTCCTCGATTTGACCGTGATGTACAGGCGGACGAACAAAGCAGAAACAAGAAGTGGGGGGAGACGGTGAATCGAGAGCCTTCAAGGTAATTTTTTCTTTTTCTTATCCATCTCCTTCTCCAGCTGCCTAGTTACTGGTCTAATCCTCTTCTTAACTGAATCGTGAATCTGATATGCAAACCATGGGTGGAAGAGGCAAGGCAGTAACAACAAGCAAGCAGGCCCGAGAAAGAGGGCTGGGGGGCAGTGACAGTCTGCCGCCATGGAATCGGCCATGGGGGCGTTGGCCACCCTCCTCCCAAAGCTGGGCAAGCTGCTACTCGAGGAGTACAACCTGAAGAAAACTGTCAAGAAGGGGATAGGGGATCTCAAAGCAGAGCTTGAGACCATGCAGACTGCTCTTGAGAAGGTTTCCGATGTGCCACTGGACCAGCTTGACTCACAGGTCAAACTGTGGGCTAACGAAGTCAGGGATCTGTCTTATGTCATCGAAGATAGCCTTGACTCCTTCATCGGACGCGTCGAGGGGCTTGAGCTAGCGAAAAAGCCCAACCCTCTAAAGGACTTCGTCAAGAAGGCCTATGACAAGATCACCAGGTTCAAGGCTCGCAACAAATTTGTCAATGGCATGGAAGACATCGAGACTCAAATTAGGAAGGTTAATGAACGGTTTGCAAGGTACAAAATCAGCGATGTTGTTGCTAATCCTGTGACAAGTACAGTCGATCCTCGTCATTTTGCAATGTATAGCAAGGTATCTGCCCTTGTTGGCATTGACAAAGCAATTGAGGAGCTGACGAAGAGATTGTGCAAGGCCGATGATCTCCATAAGAAAAATCTCAAGACAGTCTCTGGCGTTGGGATCGGAGGATTGGGCAAGACAACTGTAGCAAAAGCATTGTATGACAAGCTTAACAAGAAATTTGATTGTGGGTGTTTTGTTCCAGATTGTCAGAATCCTGACATGAAGAAACTTCTCAAGGATATCCTCTATGATCTTGACAAGAAAAAGTACATAAACATCATTGGCTCAAAAATGGATGAAAAGCAACTCACCGATGAGATGCTAGAATTCCTCAAGGAAAAGAGGTACACATTCCTACCCTAAGCTAGTCATTACTTTCTTTGTACCTATGTCAAGCTGTGTCGTATAGATTTGTATCTCCAATCTTATGTGACCTGTTTGTTCAACTTAATCCAGATAACCTGATCTGGGCATGGTTAATCTTAATGCACAGCATAACCAAAAATGATATGTACACATTTCTGAGTAAGACCTAAGATTGAAATGTTTCTGCCTATGTGAGTTAGGTACACATTTCTGCCTATCTGAGTAAGACCTAAGATTGAAATGTTTCTGCCTATGTGAGTTAGTTACACATTTCTTCTACATGTGTCATATTCAGAGTTGTGTATTTCCATCAAAGAAAGGAACCTAGTCCCATATTCTCTGTTTTTTGTTATGGTCCAGAAATAATATGGAACAAGTAAGTTTTCTTGGGTTAACGCAGTCATGGTAGCAGAACTGTGTCTTTGGAAGTCTCTCATTCCCGTCTTCTCAAAGCATTAGAGTTATTGGAATGAATGAGCATTCAAAGCACCAGAACAAAAAAGTCCAAAACATTGAACTAGGTTATACTATGATTGTTAATGCATTTATGGATCTGATGAGGGTTGCCATGCTTGTTTTAATGCATACTATACACCCCTGTTAGCTTTTCATCTTTGATGGATGCTATATACTCTTGTTAGCTTTTTGTTTTTACTAATTCAAGCCTCTTGGTACCTCTTAGTTATTGATGCTATACACTCCATACTATACTTTTTGTTTTAATAGGTACTTGATAGTTATTGATGACATATGGGATACACAAACATGGGAAATTATTAAATGCGCTTTGGTGGATGGTGACACTGGAAGTAGATTAATTGCAACTACTCGTAATTCTGAACTTGCTGAAAAAATTGGTGGTGTTTACAACATGAAATCACTTTCAGAGGATAACTCCAGAAAGTTATTCTATGCAAGAATATGCGGCGCTGAATATGTTCAATCTGCTAAAGTGACCGACAAAATTTTAGGGAAATGTGGTGGCGTGCCTTTATCTATCATTACAATAGCTAGCTTGCTTGTTGGTAAACGACGGGAGGACTGGTTGAAGGTGTATGAGTCTATTGGATTTGGGCATGGAAACAGTGAAGTTGTTAAGAACATGAGAAAGATATTGTGTTTTAGCTTTTACGATCTTCCTTCTCGTTTAAAGACTTGTTTGTTGCACCTAAGCATGTTTCCAGAAGAACATTTGATTTGGAAACATGAGTTGATATGGATCTGGATTGCCGAAGGTTTTGTCCCTGTGAACCAGGGCTAAGGTTATTTTAAGTAGGGGAGAGCTATTTCAATCAGCTTGCAAATAGGAGTATGATTCGGTTGATAGAGGGCACTGATTGCCTCATCGTAGATTCTTGTCGTGTTCATGACATGATATTGGATCTAATCCGGAACTTCTCAAGTGAATTGAGATTTGTTGGAATACATGGTATTGAGCTGGAGCAGAGCCCATGTTTACCAAGTACAGGCAGCAGTTTTCGCAGACTAGCCGCCCACAGAAGAAGTGAGCACAGCCCGATTAGCATGGAAATGGGACAAGTGAGGTCATTTAGTGCTATCTTGTGCACTGATAGTAGACTGCTCCAGCTTTTGAGCTTTAAATTATTACGTGTACTAGTTCTTGATCACTGTAATTTTTCTGTGGAAGGTTGTCGTCTTAAGCATCTTGGAAAGTTGGTTCAGCTAAGGTACCTAGGGCTGATTAATACACCTGTTGCGGAGGTCCCAAGGAAAATAGGTCATGATCTCAAGTTCTTGCAGACATTGGACATATGTCGGAGTGGCATAAAAGAATTGCCGCCATCTATTGGCGAGCTAAGCAAACTAATGTGCCTGTATACCAGTAGGGGCACAAGAATGATGGGTGTGATAGGAAAGCTGACGTCCCTGGAAGAGCTTGTGCTAGCCTTAGTGGACAACTGCTCAAATTTTGTCAGAGACCTGGGTAAGCTGAAGGAGGTGAGGGAGCTTGTGATCCATTTCGATGATATGGACAAGCAAACACATAAGGCTTTGCTAGAATCTCTATGCAACCTGGGTAAAATCCAGAATCTAGTGATCATGTCTGGACCAAAGGATCCCTCAAAAAAAAAGGCTGAACCAAAGGAGACAGTTCACGCTGGCAGTTGGGAAGAGTGGAAACCCTCCTCACAGCTGCGTACGCTATCATTGAGTGGCATCTGTTTAACCAAGCCACCATCATGGATGAATTTCTTATGTGTTCCGCATCTCTCCTACCTATGGTTTGAAGTGGAGGTGGTCGAAGCATCCGATTTTCAAATGCTTGGGAAGCTGCAGTTCCCCCGCTTCCTCAGTCTGATGGGTAATGAGGGTAACTGCTTACTAGTATATACTGTTCCTAGTGGTGAGTTTGAGAAGTTGAGATATTTGGAGACAAGCATCATAGAGATCATTTGTAGAGGAGAGGGAGTGCTCCCAATGCTTGAAAAATTGAAATGTCATGCAAGCGTGGGAATTAGAAAGGATGACGTTGGTAGGTTGGTGCAGGAGAACATGCCTATGCTCCAGGAAGTCACTTATCAGCTGGACTACAAGAATTGGAGGGCTGACGAGTTGGTCACTACCTCCTCCTTTGCCTTTCCGACAACCACGAACATTCTCTTCCCATGTCCGCAACCGTCCGTTCGCCTCCGTTATGGTCATGTCGTCGATGTCGTAAAGCTGCTCGAGCGTGCCGATGATGTACGTGAATTTATCAGTCACCGAACTGAAAAACTTGTCCACAATCTTGGCCTCCTCGAGCTTCGCACCAAGCACGTGAATCTTTCCCACCAATGTAGTCAGACGCATGGCATAGTCGTTCACCGATTCAGTTTCCTCCTTCTGCAACTTGTGAAATTGGCGCTTCAGCACTTGTGCCCAAGCCTTCGTGACGCGATCTTCTCCAATCCTCATCTCTTTGAGTGCATTCCACGCCTCTCTTGCTGTCTCGAACTCCGCCAATGTCATCAGTACAGAATCCGGCACAAACAGGGCTATGGCGGCCATGGCACCTTCATCGCACTCCTGGTCGACGTTGTCGTCCGTGATGGCCTCCCACACTCGAAGGGTTCGAAGAATAATCTTCATCTTGACCGCCCACACGCCGTAGTTGGCGTCGGTGAGCATCGGGTACTGGATGGGGATGTTGTGATGCGCCTGTACGTTGGTGCCGCCCGTTCCGCCACCACTGATCACTGACTTGCCGCCCTGTTTCACCTTGTTGCCGTTCTTGTTCGTCTTGGGACCGCAGTTGCCGGACTTGACCGACTCCTTGTCGCTGTCCGTCATCGTAGATCGTAGATCATCAAGGCTCTGATACCAATTGTTGGCTTTAGATCGGTAGATCAGTTCACCGGAGGAACAACACCCGTAGGTGCAAAGCTAGCAAGCTAGCAACAAAGCAGGCAGGCTGCCAGCTTGATTAGTAGTAGCACACGCACACGTACTAGCGACCTGGGCTAGCTTTGGATCGTATCAAGTCGATCTCGACGGAACCTCTCTCGACAACTTGCGAACATAAAACTGAAACGAAACTGATTTTTGATGATAGTCACAAGCTCGTGTCGAGCCTGCTACTTTTCTTTGTATTGATCTGCTTTTCGTTGTGGTTTTTACATTGTGGGATTACATGGGTACATAAAGGAGCTAAACTGCCCAAGAGCTAACCTAGTTGGTTCCTACCTGGGAGTACTACTCCGATGTGTACACAGACGTCTACTCGGACGACTTGTTTAGTCCCATTATCCTGTACATATACATTTTTCTTTCACCCTACCATCCATGTTACATAGGTGGTTTATATCATGGTTTAATTATTCTTTCATCTTCTTATGTTTTAACTTTTGCTGCCTGGTCATAATTTTGTAATTGTTGGGCCTACTACTCTATTCACGGTTAATGATATAAGCATGTCTCGGAAATCTAATAACAACATATTATTTCATCATGCAGCCTTCTTCCCAAAATGAAAGTACCAGCAGTGCTGTTCCTCTGGACATGTCAAAAGAAAAAACTGAAGAGAAGAAAAGACCCTCAATTGGAGTAACGGGAGAGCTTGTTAAACCTGGTGTAAGTTGCAGGTCTGAACCGCTAGGTCTTGGTCTTGGTGGAGGCCTGCCGCAGCCTAAGGTATGATCTGAAGATAGGGCCTTCAAAATATTAATCTGCATTGCTAGATGGTTGTCAATGATGCGTTCATGTTTTTATCTTTATAAATTTGTTTTGGTTAATTTGTGCCTGCGGTGGTTGTACTATTCATTCTAACCAGAAGTATATCTATACTCAATTCCAGAGAAGGAGCAGAACAGGAAAGCCATCTGGGATTAGTGGTGATCCTACCAGCAAAAGCCAAGAAGTTGTTGGGGCAAGCAGCATCAGGACTATGGATTCTCACTCTCTATCCTAAACGGATCATGAGTTGCTCGCTGTGTATGGAAGAACAATGCGTAATATTTTGTCAAATTCGACAGCTACAATGGGATGCTCAAGTTCGCCACCTTATTTGGAGAGCAAGATGCAAGATTGTGCCCAGAACCCTGCCACTATTTGGAAAAGGCATGCTAGTGGCGCACCAGTTTTGCCTACTAATGGCGCACTACTGGTGCGCTACTAGCATCACACCATTAGAATTAAATTCTAATGGAGCACCACTGGTACGCCATTAGTATCTGGTGTTCTAATGGCGCACCACATATGCGTCATTAGTATGGCCCACAATGCGCCATTAAAATGCCTTCCAGGGGGCCATATGTACCCATGTGCTTTGGCTTACTAATGGCGCATCAGTGGGTGATGCGCCATTAGTGTGATTATTACAGTGCATCATTAGTGTCTTGTATGGTGCGCCACTAGTATGAATATTAGGGATTTTTTTTTCTTTTCTGATATTTTCACAGGTTACAAAATATATTATTGAACATAATTTAGACAACACCACACAGCAACAACAGATTCATCGAATACAATAGAAGATTAGTCTCCGAATACAATTAATCATATTAGTCTCCGAATTCAAAAGACCGAACAAAGATAGAACATTACAAGTCTCGAGACCGCGAGTAGCGAGTTTGTCTTCACATTACAAGTCGATATCGATCATCTAAACTACCATCATATATAAGAGAGCTGCGGTCATCACGATGAGCATCATCGCGATGAAACTGGTCTTCACCCGGTTCCTCCAACGCTCCCTCCTCTCTCCCGCTAGATAGCGGGCGTATCTAGATTCCGCCTCCGCCCTAGTGGTGTACCCTTTGTAACTGTTACCGCTGAAACGGTGAACCTGTCTCCGTCACTCCTCCCAGTCGTCGTAGACTCCGGGAACCTTACCCTTGTACACGACATACGACGTCATCTCTATGCACAAGCCAAACAACAGATAATACATAAGCAATATATAAGTATGCAACAAAAGGATCGGAAGAGAAAAGCAAGACATTAATAGCACGATTCATGGTCCTACAAATAAATAGCATCGATTACATCTAAGTTGAACGACTATCCAAACCAAAGAGACATACAAGCTCATTAAAGTTTAATTACAACATGAGCTAATCGATGTTTCAGAACTACAAATAGCATCACTACTTTCGACTCGACTCATGGGACCGGAGCGTGGATGAAGCCGCCGTCTTTCGTGATGGTCATGAAGTCGCGGGCGTTGTCAGCCTGCATGTGAAGTGTTGTGTCTATCTCACTGTTGGACGGTTGCTCTCTGAGGTAGAACTGCCCCGAGGTACGAAGGACATCTTGATGGATGATTTATGCAAACTCCGACTGGATGCGAAAGAATTCTTGTCGGAGGTCCGCGTCCTGGATTGCCGCCAAGCTTGCGGCCCAATCTTTGACATTATTTGGTAGCAGAAGGTGATTATGGTCCCGTACGATCGCCCTCATGTGATGGAGGGCGTAGTAGGCATCCTTTTGACCACCAGGTGGCTTCTTGACGCAGGGGAACATCGTATTGTGGGTGAACACATGCCTGCCGTACCTACGAACTGGCCTCTTAAAGGTGCCTCCAGATGTGGCATAGCCGGGGAGAGCATCATCAAGAACTTTCTTGATATTTGTGTAGTCTATCTTGGAGTCACGGTCCAGAGGATGAGTGTGCAATTTGTGTCACTGCACAGAACACGGAATGTTAGAAAAAAAAGAACGATCGAAATCTAAGAAATCATATGTTACGGGGCGGTGAGGGGATGACTTACTCGGGAAAGTAAGGCACGAGGAAATTATCCTTATCTGGATTTGCCAGAATGACGCCTTCGAGGTGTGAACTCGGGACTTGCCGGTCCCCAGCGCTGCCCAAGATCTTGGCATGCATGTAGAAGGGGTCGACTATCACGATGTCCGGGGTCTTGTTTCGAATGATCCGCATCTCCATACACAACGAAAACAGCCGAACGAAGGTGTAGTGTAGCGGATGAAGATTAAACATAGCAAAGATGTCATCAAACCGCAGGATGATCGTACCCCCGATGGCGCCATCCACAAAGCCCTTGCCCTCTGGCACCTTGGCCACGAAAACCGGGTATGCCACATCATTCTGGGAGAGACGCATCTTCTCCAAAGAAAGAACACTGTCATGCAGACTCCGCATAGCACCGGTTGCAGCATTGAGCATATTTGTCGGTAGCATCACCCTACCCGCCACATGCACCCTCCTCGAGATATCCTGAGGTGAAGGTAACCCGTCCTCAGCACGGATCGTACTCGGTGCCGGCTGGCTCGCACCGGCGCCCTTGGCAGTCTTTCGTTTCCGTCCCTTCTTCTTGATCTGCTGTGATGGGACCGAGTTCTGCTCACAGACCGCCTTCTTGAGCGTGTTGGGGCTGATAATATTTCGTACCTCAGCTATCTAAGGCTCGGTGAAGGCGGGAGCTGGAGGTGTCTCCTGAGAACTGAATGCCAGACGATGCCTGTTGCTATTGGATTTCTCCGCCGTACTAGCTAGATCGCGGTCGTCTTGGTTGGGTTCTTGAGAAGGAGGCCCGCTGAACTGGTCACTGTACCCATGTTCGGCAAAGTACTTATCGACGTGGGTCAATGTACCGTCGTCGTTGTCATCGTCGTCCGGATCCTGTGCCATAGGGATGTACAGCATGTCCGGTAGCGTTGCGGCGTTCTTGCCATGGCGTGGCGCCGACACGACTGGCGGTCTTGTCTGTGGGGTGATGTCCCCCGCCCCCAAACGAATCTGGCTCTTCCGCCAAAGCAGGGCCAGCTTAGGCAGGCACTAAGGCTCATCAGATCTTCTTCGTCGGCCCCGGCGGGTCGAATCGGAGGTAACAACTCGTCGCAGCCTGGCAGCACCCGAACCAGTTGAACCCTATACATGGTGGGTGGCATCGGTTTATCGTGGAACAAGGGCTTTCCTGGTTGAACGATTTTGCCCTTGGCGACATCGACCAAATCGTCGTTCACGAAGTGCATGAGAGTGCACGGAACATCGACGACGCCCTGTGAAAACATGTAGGGTGGCAGGGATGCCCAATCAAAGGCAGAAGGAGATGAAGTCCTCGTCCGAGAGGCTTAATTAGTTACCATGATGATGGAGTCGAGCTCGGCTAATGTCGAGGCACCGCCAACGGCGGACGTGCAACTGACGGAGGGGCCGCTTGCTGGCGAGGTGCCGGTCGGCGTATACCCGGGTGCATTAAGCTCCAATGCCCGTGCCGGCGCCGGAGACACCAATACCGCCGCCGCCAATGACACCAATGGCGCCGCCGGAGACACCAATGGTGCCGCCTGCGCGTTGTGCGAGTTGCTGGTCGTGATGCTGGGAATCAGGGGCGGCCCCTGTTGGGCACCCGCAATCCACGTGATCAACCCATGAATCAAGGTAGGCATAATGTCGGTGAGCGTCGTTCCCAGTTGTTGTTGCACGTGCTCTTGGATAGTCTCCGGAATCCGCGCCACTTGTGCCTTGAGTTCTTCAACCTCGCATGACTGGCTTTCCGAGCTGGTCGTTTTCTCCTTTCGCCCACCAGCGGTATAGTATGACGACCATTTTGTGGACAAACCTTTGCCGGCCACACGACCAGCTGACGACGGCTTACTGAGCTTATCCTTGTTTTTCATTATGTTCAACGCCCTATTTAGAGTGTTGTCCCAAGCAGGGGTGCTCTAAGACGACCCCGCGCTACTGCTTTCAGTCTCCTTCGCCAGAACAAGCTCAAGCGCCCTGGTCTTCGGATCCGTGGTAAGCTCCTTTATTATCGGGTCCTCCTTTACCGGGCCCTGACAAAGTTCCTGGTCTGCTTGTCACTGTTGTATTTCTGGAAGCGGGGCGGTAGGCCTTGCTCGGCAAGCTCTGCTTCCTCCTTGTCCCATATAGGCTCCGCCACTCTGTAACCGCCGGGACCGAGTTTGTCTTCCCCTAAGTTCAACTCCCGCATTTATTTCCCTCGCTGACTTGATTCGGAGGTTGCACTGCTCTCGCATTTGATCTTGAACTCCTTGTAGTCATCTTCGCTGATCGAAGGATTTTTCGCCTTGATCTTCTCATAACTATCACCTTTCTCAATCATTCTCTTCACCGCGCTTCTCCAAGTAGACAGGGCCGTGCTCATCCTCGTGAGGGCGGCACTGTTCACTTTATTCCTAGAGAGGCGTGTGTTTTCAAATTCAGCGGGGAACTTGTATCATTCGTGCAGCTTCGTGAAGAGGAGGTTGTGCAAATTCCCTCGGTCCTTATGCCTAAGGTTCTCGGTGTTGATCGAGATGCTGCTCTGGAGAATGCACCCGAGCTGAACCGAGTACCCCTTGACTATATGTTTGGGCTCCGTTCGATGCCCGTCGGAGTCCACTTGAGTAAATTCCTCCTTGACGGTGCGGAGCACGTTCGGGCGCCGGTCCTTCCGTTGCTTCTTCGGTTGGCTGCCATCTGTGCGTGCGCCGCCATCATCAGTGGTGGCATCCTCGGCGGCACCATCAGTGGTGGCATCCTCGGCGGCACCATCAGTGGTGTCATCCCCGACGCCACTAGGGGTAGTGTAGTCAGGATCGGTGTCTTCCGCGGCGTCCTCATAGCGGTGAGGTTGTTCC